AAATCGTTAGCTATATTCATGTCCCCAATACACAATAGCAACTAGTTTAGTTAATGGAAACTATATCTGAATGTATATCTGAAATACATATCATATTAAGAAACGCAAAAAAATCTGCTTCAAGAGGGTATTCAAAAACTACAGTATCCGAAAAATTAAAAAGATTAGAATATCTGTCAAGTAAAGTTAGAACAATTTACCCAACTTCAAAGTTTGAAACAATAACTTCATTAGTAGAAACATTTTTCGACAAATATAACCTGACTAAACAATATTTATTAAGTATGTCAACTAGTGAAAACATAGTTAGCCAGGAAAGAAACAGTAGTGATACAAGCACGAACATGGAAAAATTAAATTACGAAACTGTGGAAAAACTAGTACCCACTTTCACCGGTAAAGTTGAAGAATTAAACAATTTTATACATAGATTGAATATAATTCATGACAATCTACGTGACTCTGACAAACAAGCATTTTTAGATTTCATAGTAGAATGCAAGTTACAACATTCAGTAAGAGCCAAAGTCAGCCCCGTAGGAATTTCAGATTCACTTCCTGAACTAGTAGAGAATCTAAAAAAGAACTTTACATCAAAGGACACCATACCTCAACTGCTGCAAAAGATAGCAGAAGTAAAACAAGGCCCTCACCAGAAAATACACGAATATACAGAAAAGATATCAACCATTCTAGCGAATTTAAACTATGCGACATTACTAAAGAATAACTTTAAGAAGTCATCTCCGGAAGGAAAGGCCGTACTTTTAGTAAATGATGAAACAGCATTGTTAGCATTTAAAAAGGGATTAAATACTGTTTATTTACAAACTGTACCAGCAGCTCAACCAAAGACCTTTACAGAAGCTAGATTGTTTGCAGAAAATATGCATATACCAATGCAACAACAAGTCTTTTTCACCCAACAACGTTTTCATAGTCAAAGAAGATACGACAAACATAGAATGAATCAAAATAGATTCCAATATAACCAGAGAATTAGCAACAATTCTCAAAATAGAGTCAATAATGGGAGAAACTTCAATAGAAACAGAAACAACGCGTACCCCAACAATACTTCAAACGTTGAGAATAGAAAGAGAACAGCTGTATTACCACATTGTCATAATGATGATATAAAAACACAAGTTCAAAAACTATTACAAGACGATATAATACAACCGTCAAAAAGCCCCTACAATTCACCAATCTTGCTTGTTCCTAAGAAATCAACAAACGATAACAAGAATTGGAGACTCGTCATTGATTACAGAAAACTCAATGAAAGAATAGTCAACGACAAATTTCCCTTAACACGTTTGGAGGATGTTCTCGATAAGCTTGGAAGAGCTAGGTATTTTTCCACTTTAGATATGACCAGCTCATTTCATCAAATACCAATTGACGCCTCTTCGAGACAAAAAACCGCCTTTTCAACAAATGATGGTCATTACGAATTTAAAAGACTACCTTTCGGATTAAAGATTAGTTCTAACAGCTTCCAACGAATGATAACATTAGCATTAACAGGTTTGGAAACGGAAGCATTTCTATATGTAGATGATATAATAATTTTTGGAAATAGTTTGAAACACCATAATATAAATCTAGAGAAAGTTTTTGAGAGACTAAATGAATACAATCTTAAATTAAATCCAGACAAGTGTAACTTTTTAAAGCATGAAGTTACTTACTTAGGTCATTTGATAACAGAGCACGGAATAAAAACTGATCCGGCCAAACATCAAGTCATAATGAACTACCCAAAACCCACAACTACTGATGAAGTACGAAGATATGTAGCTTTCTGTAATTATTACCGTAGATTCATAAGCAATTTTGCAAACATTGCAAAACCGTTAAATCGTTTACTAAAGAAAAACCAGAAGTTTGAATGGAATTCAAATTGTGATAAAGCATTTGAAAACTTAAAATCAAAACTAATAAACCCACCAGTACTCAAGTACCCCGATTTCAATAAACCATTTATAATTACCACTGATGCATCTGATTATGCATTAGGCGCAGTACTCTCACAAGGTGAGATTGGATCTGACCTTCCAATTTGTTATGCAAGCAAAGTCCTCCAAAAACACGACTTAAATAAGCCAATTATAGAGAAGGAATTGTTAGCGATACATTGGGCAATCAATTATTTTCGCCCATATGTTTATGGCAAACGTTTTTTTGTTATAACAGACCATAGACCCCTAATTTCCCTATTCGTCCATAAGAACCCCTCATACAAAATGACAAGGATTAGAATAGACTTGTCAGATTATGATTTTGAAATTATATACAAAAAAGGGAAGATAAACACAAATGCAGATGCACTATCTAGAATCAAGATAGATACCAATACTTTAAAAGCTCTTGTACCGCTCAACAACGACGAAAATGTATCAAAGAAATTAAACCCGGCTAATGAAGAAGAACTAATGAGACAATTAAAAACAAGAGACGATACTCGAGTATATGTTACAACGAGGAGTAACACAAAACGCGCGATGAAAAGGAATGATAATCCTATCGGAAACACACGTTCCAATGAGCCTGATCAACTCTATTGCTGGGACTGTACATCCATTAGTGATATCAGATATACAATGAAACTGCAGTTTAATATAAATAAAAATAATAAAGAAAAATTACACATTGTGAAAAATGTAGTAAAAGTGGAAATGAGCGAAGCACCTACGAAGCCGATTTCGATCATGGAGAAACTCATATCCAAAATAGAAAATTTTAAAATCTATGAATTAGCGCTAGCACAAGAAGATACAATATTTGATGCCATGGCAAAAGAAGAATTTAAAAATATTATAAATACTTTGTGACGAAGAAATAAAAATGAAAAACGTCTCAAAATATTAATTTATAAAAGCCCAGAACAAATCACGGATACAATAAAAAAATACAGACTCATTGAAGAATATCATAATACTCCTTACAGCGGACACTTAGGTGTAAGGAAAACCTTCAAAAAATTAAAACAACGGTATACGTGGAGCAAAATGAAACAAATGGTTCATAAATATATCAGTACATGTCACAAATGTCAAATCAACAAACAAACGAAACATACAAAAGAACAATTAGAAATTACGACAACACCTACAAATGCTTTCGAAACAGTAGAAATTGATACCGTAGGCCCTCTTCGTTCTTCAAATGGATTTAGATATATTCTCACAATGCAATGTGAATTAAGTAGATTTATCATTGCATATCCAATAGTAAATAAAGAAGCATATACAGTAGCTAAAACATTAATTGAACAACTAATGTTCAAACATGAACACATTTTATAGTTTATTTTTAAGATTTATTATTATTTTAGAAAATAAGTTTTTAATCTGTATATGTAAGCAAAAATGTTATCCGCTAAATACTATTTGTAAAGGACTGTATTAATTATTTGAATATTCCAGAAAATTTCTATTGTTTACTTAAATGCTTTAAAGATAAAATTTTATTGTTTTTCAATGTTTAATGATTATAGCACAAGCTGTGCACAAATGTAAAATGATAACGCGCATGTGTATCAATAACAAAGATTGTAACCTTTTTTATCTTAGACACACATGCGCCTAAGTATACAGTCCACTAGCTAATATACAGTCCACAACGTAGCGATAACAAATTTAACACTTAGTTTTATGATAAAATAATTGTATAAATACATGTACTAGAAATGAAATAAAGTTAGTAGTTTAAAATTACTGAAAGTGTGTGTACTTTAATTTGTTAAATGTACATTTTGGTCCTTCGAGACATAAAGTGAAATTGAGTACAGTGCGATACAAGCGTGGACCGAGGCTTAAACATCGGTGCCATAAACTAAATATATAGTGCAGTGCTAAAAGATACAAGCGTGGACCGAGGCTTAAACATCGGTGCCATAAACTAAATATATAGTGCAGTGCTAAAAGATACAAGCGTGGACCGAGGCTTAAACATCGGTGCCATAAATTAAATATATAGTGCAGTGCTAAAAGATATAAGCGTGGGCCGGGCTTAAACATCGGTGCCAAAATTTTAAATATAGTGAAAAAGCATTGATCGAGATTTAAATATCGGTACGGAAAAAGAAAATGGATCCATCAAACTTATTTGCTTGCTAATACAGTAAAAGAATGTTTAGATAAAATACGAGGATTATGGAATCAATTTAAAGATAATCACGAGAAAATACTCTTAACGGAGAATAAGGAAGACAAATATTTTAAAGAGGACTTTTACACTACAGTGCATCAAAAAGTGATTCAGGTGAAAACAATGCTCGAAGAAATAGTTGAAAGCAAAGATAGAAATGCAGAATCTGTTAAAAGCAAAAGTGTAGACGAGAAAATAACGGAAAGTCAAATTGAGAAAAATAAAATCAACAATCTAGTAGAGCAATATAACAATAACATCGCAAGGTTAAGACAGATGTTAGAAAATCTTGACCATTATGATACTGTCACGCGATTGGAACAACTTAATGGAATCTGGAAAAGAAAGTTCGAAGACATTAGAAGTATCTATAAGAAGCTGGTTATTGAAATGTCGTACAATGAAGTAGACATTATGAATGATTATGATGAGATTGAAGACCAATACGATAAGGCGTTAGATGAATTAGCCAATAAAATGGAAAAATTACGTGAGGGGAACAACGTTAAGCTTGACTGCATTAGAATCCCAAATTTCAACGGTAATATTGAAGAATGGTCGTCTTTTCATGATCTATATAAAAGGCTTATCCATGAGGATGGAAAAATTTCGAATGTTGAGAAAATGTATCGACTCAAAACATTAGTAAAAGGAGAAGCAAGCAAGCTGATACAACATCTACCGGTGTCGGAATTGAATTATGCTGTAGCTTGGGAGATTTTGTCGCAAAGGTACGAAAATGAAAGAATGTTGTTTACAATATTGGTCGATAAATTGCTCGATCAACCATCTTTATATAATGATTCAGCGTCAAGTTTGAAAAAGTTGCTTGACACATCGATAGAATGTATCCAGGGGCTGAAACGAATGAAGCAGATCCAATAATAGCAAGGATTATAATCAGGAAGTTGGATAAGGAAGGATTACGGCTATATGAGCAAAATATAAAAAGGACAAAGGAGATTCAAAAATTGGACGATGTATTACAGTTTCTGGAGCAGCAATACCAAGCAGCAGAGGCGATTAAATCTAAGAAACAAACTAATAATGTAAAGTCTTTTCAAAAAACAACAGCGACAACTATAGTAGCAAATGATTACCAGTGCTTTTACTGCAACAAAAAAGGACATATGGCAATAAAGTGTTATGAGTTTCTAAAGCTACAAGTCAAGGACAAAAATACATGGGTAAAAGACGCTCAAATTTGTCGCGTCTGTTTATCGCATAAAACTACAAAACGATGCAATAGTAAGACAAAATGTCAAGATTGTGGGAAGTGGCATAATACTCTTTTGCACATTAATTCAGGGCAAAATAATAACACATCAACATTAACAATGAATACGGGCACAGCAGAAAATGTGTTACTTGCAACGGCGCAAGTGCGCGTAAAAAGTGTTCAAGGTGAGATGATTATGTTAAGGGCACTAATTGACCAAGGGTCGCAAACTACAGCTGTATCAGAAGAAGCGGCACAAATATTAAATTTGCCAAGGAAAAAAGTAAAAATGGAAGTGCAAGGGTTTGGAGGAACACCGGTTGGCGTTGCAAAGGCAAAAATAAATCTTCAAATTCACCCACGATTCACCAGTAAATATAAAATAAATGCAGAAGCATTAATTTTACCATCATTGGTATCTTGTCAACCGGATAAAACCTTTAGCTATAATATAGATAAGTGGGAAAATATGACCTTGGCGGACCCAAATTTTAATAAATCCGATAGAATTGACATAATCATAGGAAGCGATCTTTATGGAGAAATTATTGAAGGCGGTCTACTTAAAAAAGATAAAATATTGGCGCAATCAACAAAGTTCGGCTGGATATTATCAGGTATTTTACAAGCAAAAAGAAGCATTAAAGGATTCATCTCTTCCAACGTCGTCAACATAGAAAAGTTTTGGGAAATAGAAGAAATTCCAGAGGATGAAGATTCATCGGAAGACGGATATTGTATGAAAAATTATGCTGCGACAACTACCAAAAATGAAGATGAACGATTTGTAGTTGAGTTACCTTTCAAAGAAGAACACCAAGTTGGCGACTCATACAAAATGGCGATGGCACGATTCATAAATTTGGAAAGAAAATTACAGGCAAACCCATCATCAAAGAGAGAATATGTCGAATTCATGAAGGAGTATCTAGCTGATGGGCATATGAAAAAAGTAAGTTCAAAAGACAGGGAAAATATTATCTACCTCACCAAGCAGTAGTAAGAGCGAATAGTATCACTACTAAGGTGAGAGTAGTTTTTGATGCTTCGGCAAAGACCACGAATAAAAATGGTTTAAATGATGTATTATATGTTGGCCCAAGGTTGCAAAGGGATATCTTTGATATATTGTTGAAGTTTCGACTGAAAAAATTTGCCATAGTTGCTGACATAGAAAAAATGTATAGACAAATATGGGTGAGTAAAAATGATCAGAAATACAAACATATTTTGTGGAGAAGCGAGATTAATCAGCCAATTGAAGAATACAAGTTAACAACTGTAACTTACGGTATTGCCCCTGCTTCATTTTTAGCTATAAGAACTTTATTTGAAATAGCAAATGAATGTCAGGATAATCAGATATCGAAAATAATTAAAGACGATTTTTATATGGACGATCTTCTAACTGGCGGTGATACAAAAGAAGAGTGCAAAAGTGTTCGGCTAAGGATATCGGCACATTTGGAGAAGTATGGATTTCATTTGAGGAAATGGTGCTCTAACACCATGGATATAATAGAAACGGTGGAAAAATCAAAAGACAATGAGGTCATTGATATAGATAAAGAAGAAAGTATAAAAACGCTTGGCTTGCAATGGAATCCTAACAATGATATATTCATGTTTAAGATAGCAGAAAGTAGAGACGTCTATATAACAAAAAGAATGGCATTATCGTATCTAGGTAAAATATTTGATCCATTATGACTATTGGCTCCAGTTACAGTATTGGTTAAGTTATTTGTGCAGAAGCTCTGGATAAGTAATTTAGATTGGGATATGAAATTAAATGAAGAAATGATGAAAGAATGGAAAAACATTGTGCAGAACTTAGACGCAATACAAACAATCAAAATTGAGAGATGGGTAGGAGTTACCGGAAATGATGAAATATGCCTGATAGGGTTCGCTGACGCATTGGAAAAGGCCTACGCAGCAATAGTGTACATAAAAACGCACGCAGAGGTGTCCATAATAGCAGCAAAAAGTAAGGTAAATCCTATAAAAAATAGAAAAACATTGCCGAAGCTTGAGCTGTGTGCAGCGCATCTATTCGCAAAATTATTAAATAAAATTCATAACATAATTAACAGAAAAATAAAAATGTATGCATGGAGTGATTCCACGATTACATTATGCTAGATAAAAAGCAATTCAAGCAAAAATAAATTTATTAGGTCAAGAGTAAATGAAATAAGCTCGTTAATTCCAAGCGCCAATTGGTTTTATGTGCGATCAAAGGAAAATCCAGCAGACCTAGCATCCAGAGGAATTCAGCCGGAAAAGTTAGAGAACCAATCGTTATGGTGGAGAGGTCCAAACTGGTTAAACGATGATAGAAGGACATGGCCAAAAGAACAAATGGCAGCTAAAATAATAAATATCAGTAAATTAAGAGAGGAAGACTTATTTAATCAGCTCATCGAGAAATATTCATCTTTTAGAAAATTAAGTAGAGTGGTTGTATATTTTTTCGTTTCATAGACAGACTGAGGAAGGCTAAGTCTCCAGAATATCTTACTGTAGAGGAGTTTAGAAGAGCAGATGCAGCTATTTTTAGAAGTCATCAGACAACACAATTTTTTACGGATATAAGCAGATTGAAAAATAGTTGTGAAATAGATCATCGAAGCAAAATGGCAAATTTGAATCCGTTTTTAGACAAAAACCAAGTTTTGAGAGTTGGAGGTCGATTAATCAATGCAAAAATTGGTTTTGATAAAAAGCATCCAATAATTACAGCAAAAGGTCATTTGGCGAATTTGATAATAAATGAAGCACACCGAGAAACATTACATGGTGGACATCGATTGATGGAAAATGTTATAAAAAGAAGATATTGGATATTTGGACTTAAAAACTTGATTAAGAAGTGTATACGTGAATGTGTAAGGTGCACCCGTTATAAAGCATTAAAGCAGAAGCAGCTTATGGGTTGCTCATTGTGGAGTAGATTACGCTGGACCATTGCTAATTAAATGTTCTAAAGGGCGAGGCCAAAAAACTTTTAAAGGGTACGTAGCGGTATTTGTATGTATGGCAACTAAAGCTTTGCACTTAGAGTTGGTAAGTGACATGACATCAGACTCATTTCTGGCGGCGCTGAAGCGATTGTTTGCACGCAGAGGCAAATGTTCACATATATACTCAGACAATGGTACCAACTTCGTTGGAGCATCCAAAAAATTAGATAAGGATTTACAACAGGCTATTAAAAGCAATGTGAGTGCAGTTTGTGCATTGGAAGCAGAAGGTATAAAATGGCATTTCATTCCACCGGCAGGTCCTCATTTTGGAGGGTTATGGGAGTCGGCCGTGAAGTCAATAAAACACCACTTGAAAAGAGTTGTTGGCGAAAATAAACTTACTTATGAGGAGTTAAGCACACTTCTAACCCAAATTGAGGGCATACTTAATTCACGACCGCTTTGTGCAAATGTTGACGACAATGATATATTAACTCCAGGTCATTTTTTAATTGGGCATGCTATCATTGACTATCCAGAAGCAGTAGATAATACGAACATATCTTCATTAAATCGTTGGAAGATAATTCAAGCAATGAAGAAACATTTTTGGAAACGATGGAAGGAAGAATATTTAACGAATCTTCAGCAGAGGTACAAATGGAAAAAGGTTCAAGCGAATGTTAAGGAAGGCCAAGTGGTAATAGTGAAGAATGAGGAAACATATCCAGGAAGATGGCCTCTTGGAAAGATAATTGAGGTTCATCCTGGAAAAGATAATCTGGTGAGAGTAGAATCGGTAAAAACTCAGAATGGCACAATAAAACGTCCGATTCAGAAATTATGTGTATTGGAAGGCGTACACGAACAAATACATGTTGCTGAGAATAAGAAGATAAATGTTATTAAACGAAAAGATTTGAAAAAAGAAAAATCTGTTAATTTAATGTTACTTTTATTGCTAATGATTTTAATTCCATCTAGAGTAGCGTCAGAAGCAATTAAAGGAGGAAAAGTGAATGAGATAGACAAAGACACGGTGGTTTATTTGGACGAAATTGGATCTATGAACGTGGTATCATCATCATGGAAGCTGTTAATATGTTTTGATTTGGAGCCCTTTTTCGAAATAATTGATAAAGAAGGTATAACTATATTGGAAATGGAGAAAATTTGTTCTAAACTGCAAACATTTGAAAACCATTGTGTGGCAATTATAGAAGACATGAGACAGCAAATAAAGCAGATGCAGGACACAAATAAATATTTGCTTCAATATAAAAATCAAAGAACGAGAAGAGCGCCATTTGAGTTCATCGGGTCACTGCAGCACATATTGTTTGGCACAATGGATGCAGAAGATAGAAAAATGTTCGAAGAAGACATGTCGAGATTACTAAAAAATCAGCATGATATCAAGAATCTGATAAATAAGCAAACTTCGGTAGTAGATTCTACGGTGAATTTGTTAAAAAGACTCACCACGGAGATAAATAATAATTTTAAACAAATGCAAGATAGGCTCAACATCTTGTCG